TGGTGCCTTGTTTGTGGCTCGCCAGCCCTGGGTTCTCCTCAACCACCATATTTCAGAGTGCCCCACACACCCATTACCATACTTCCTAGTGCACCACACCCCGCCCTCCCCAAAATGAGACCTGCTTCTTGCTGTGGGGAGGCAGGAAGAGGAAAGAAACATTCATTTCCAGAGCCCAGGCCACCGGCCGACACCTCTGCTGAATAGAGAGAAGAAGACAGCCAGGACAGTGTCTCCATGCTGCAATTCCGGCCCAGAAATTAGTTTCTTGCTTGAGAGAGAGACCCTCGTGTTGGAAGGCAGGTGACAGAACAAGAAGCAATGGGCTCAGGCTACAGCAAGGAAAGTTGAGGTTGGATATTAGGGGAAACTGGCTCCCAAGGAGGGTGGTGAAGCACTGGAAAAGGCTGCTCAGAGGAGTGCTGGAGTCTGTGTCCTTGGAGGTTTGGAAGTCCCTGGGTGGACAGAGCCGAGGCTGGGATGATATCATGGAGGATGGTGCTGCCTGAAGGAAGGGGGTGGCCTAGATGTCCCTTCCTGCCCCTGGTGCAGTGTGGGTCTGGGCATGGTTAGCCCTTGGACTCTGTGCTCCAGCTGTCAGCCCACCCTGGCCTGCCCTATGCCCTTCTGAGCCCACCACCCCCTGCCGACCCAGCTCCACTCCTGCATTGCCGGGTTCATCCCTGTGGCCTGGTGCTAGTGTGGCAGTTCTCAGCCTCTTTAGACTTGGGGGAGTCCCGGGATAGACTCCCAGCCCCATGCACAGGCTCACAGGTCCCTGGGGTAGATTCACACTGCCCTGCATAGACTCACAGCTTCTTGGGGTACTCATAACCCCCTGCACAGACTCACAGCCCCTGCGTAGACTCATAGCTCCCCAAGGTGGACTCGCACCCACTGCATAGACTCACAGCTGCCTGGAGTAGCCTCACAGGCTCCCTAGATAGACTCACGGCCCCCTGCATACTCACAGCTTCTGGGAGTAGACTCACCACCCCCTTCATAGACTCAGGGCCCCTGGATACACTCACAGCTCCCCAGGGTAGACTCCCATCCCCCTAGCTAGACTCATGGGCCCCTGCATAGAGTCCCATACCCCTGGGGTAGACTCATGTACCCCCCTGCAGAGACTCCTATCCCGTCTGGATAGGCTCACAGCACCCCCTGGACACACTCCCCCCCACCTGCATGCA